TTCTAGGCTTACGTTTTTTACTTGATCCGTCGTTCCATATAGTTGTTCCACGCAAATTGTTCTTTTTACTTTCCAATTGGCATATCGGGCAGCAGAACTGTAAAAAGTATTGGGGATATTGGAAGAGTGGGTCCCAAAGCAGAAAGGGTACTGAAGAACAAACGTCAAAAGTGACCACTTGCGATGTGATTCCAGCAGCTTGATTGCAATCCCTTTCCTGGTAAACCTGTATCGCCGTTTGAATAGCTTGATAAGAGGTATCGTTGATGAAATTTTCAATCGAAATGACAGATGTCAAGAGAGATAGATGAATACACAAATGCAAGATAGCCATGCTTCAAGTTGATTCGTTTAACTGTAGTCAAAAATTAATTAAAACATTAAAGTTAATATTAAAGTTAATATTGCACAATTGGTCTCCGTCATTTCATTGATTTAACTACGTGACTTAAACGGAAATAGGACATGGTTTTATCTATGTTTTAATCTATTGCACACTTAAAATCCTACTGTGTTGGCATTAACAGTATGAGGTCGTTACGATGTTCTGGTATCAATCACTGCTTTATAAAATTGGGAAATCGATCGATATTTTGTAAAAGATTCAATTCCAAGGACAATTTTTCATGTGCAGTCAAAGCCGGTTTTAGTTCGTGCAATGAGAAGGTAAAACGATCATTTTATTGCATGGAGGCATCTGTTGTGGACAGCCAACACTTCCAAAACATTCAAGAGTTGGTGATCAGCCTATCCGATTTACTAATTACCTCGTTTTCCTTCGGGTTCAAAAAGACTGCATCAGTAGAGCTTAGACCGATTGGGAACGTGGGAAACCTAATACTATAAGTGTGCAAAAAGATTTCTTTCACTTAATAAACTGACCTTCTCTTCGACAAATGTTTAAGGAAGTATTATTTGAATTTTTAAATACTTAAAATGTCCTTCTGTGTTCTTCATTTTTTGCGACGCGACAACATTTTTGTAATTAGGAGTACAATTGTACAATTTGTACACATTGTTCAATAAGGAGTAAATTGCACCTTCAACTATGGCGAGTAAAATAAGAATAAGGCAGTACATTGGTATAATACACATGCTTGTAAATGAAATCAGTACTTTGCGTCTTGTTTAGTATGGACGTATATAGTTTAAGTTACACGTGAACCAGCTTAACTATCCGCGATACAGACATTTCGAAATCTGTCGTAGCTTGATGGACGTTCCCAATTTTTCATCAAATACAAGACGCAATTTTAAAGACCATAAATGGCATGGCTAACTTAAAGATGGCAGATTATGATTGGCTATCGTCATCGAGATACGTGGGCTCGAAGGGATGTATTACTCAATCTTCTTTAAGTGTTCAGCAGTATTTTGTCATTAAGGACCAGTTAGTTCTTGCGTTGGTATCGAGTAGGTGGTTGGAATTTGCCTGCAGCTTATACTCTTCTATTGCTCCCATATAACCTACAAGTAAGTTGCACATATGATAGTGACTGACTAAAATTGAATTGAAACGCCATATACAATATATTTTTTGCGCGTTTGTATATTATAATGTTGCTTATCGTATGGCATAACGACAGCAATCGGCACTTTTCTTTAGAAGTCATCGCGATTATTGTTGGTACCCCTATTCAAATACTATTTTGCACAGTAGAATTACCTAAGTATTAACTATGAGTCAATTTTCAAAAACGCATGCTTTTGTTAATGCTTCATTTATCAGTGTTAAAGAAGAAATGATATTGAGCAATACTGAATTCCCTTAACTTTTTTCAACATAAAAAGCTTACCTATGTACAATGGGTCGGACAAGATATATCGAGAAAGAAAACAAGATGGGGCTAAAAATAAGAGAAAAAAAGGAAGGCAAGACGATAAGCAAGTTCGTCCCACATTCAAACTTCATTTTCCATCCCGTTGCACAGGTATGAGATTGCATGCATAGCACTCTGAAGTTAACTCTGAAAACACAAGTTATGGCTGAGATTACTGAATTATTGTAACTAACATTCTGTATTATTTGTGTGTGTGTGTTCTGTGTTTTTCAGCTGGGTGGAGAAAAAGATGGCTTTCTTGTTGAAGTCAAGACATTTCCGCATGGCACAGTATTGTAAGTAAAAAAATTACACTTTTACATTTCAATTTAATGATGGCTGCATTTTTTGGCCTCGATTAATACATCAATCTATCTAGTTTATATATCATTATTTGGATCATAGCGGAATGACAATCTATCTCGTACTAGCAAACTTTCCGCGTCTCAGCAAGATAGAGACAAGAATTTTCAAATTTCATTTTTATTTTCACAGATATTGTTATGAATGGCAGTTAATTACTCTCAATTGTATGTCTATTACGTTGGCGGGATTTCTCAGTCTATTATATTTCACGTCGCGTAAATAAAACACATGATGATCAGATGATAAGGATCGCTTATTGCGTTTGTGGTTATAATTGTAGCTGTTATTACAGTGACATAAACATAATGATTAACAT